AAGCTAAAGATCGTCCATCGCTTCTGGATTGCTCCATTATACTACTGACTCTTAGTCTTTGTTCCAAGTGCTCAAGAAATCTAATTGGATTTGGCGGGCGCAGTATATTTCCTGAGCAACCACTTCTACCCCTCCGCTACTCCCCATTTGCGGTCCGAATGAATCATCTTCCCTTGGAACGCTGCTGCAACTCTCATTATTCTAGAGGACGTTCAATTTTCTAGTATGGTAAAAATGTTATCACTTAAGGGCAACAAGTAGACTAACTGCCGCGGTTTTGGCAATTTTGGTTTAGGTCTTTCACTGAAAAGTGCCAATTGTCTTTAAAAGTAATGCGTTTCAGAGGTGCTTCTCGTGATGGAGTTTGTGTGAAAGCATTCTAAATATTGGATGAGTACCTCACCGATTAAGGTTTGAGTAGGAAAGCCAGGTGATAGTGGTTTGAATAGCGTGGTTTGTTTGCTACCAGCAAGCAAGGCTTTTAATGCGGTCTATTGTTTTACATTTGATAGGTAATTGAATTAAATGATAAGTAATGACTGATAGTTTCGAAGGTTGTAGTTAGAAAGGAGGAATATTTAGCGCAAGAGACACGAAATCGGACTTATGTACCGTGAGCCTGCGTCTTGTACGAGGTTTCAATTTTGGGGTATTTGAATGCATTGTAACTTCAAAGTCTTTATTTTCAACTCAGTCATACAAGGATTACGTGAGAGTTGCCATATCGACGAGTTTTATGCGATTATCTTCCGATACAAATGCGGAACTTCGTGGTGGACATGGACAGTAAGCGGCGTCAGCTCCGGGTAAGCCATCATCCCCTGGCGGCCCCATTGGTCCATCAGCGCCTGGCTCTCCATCTCTACCCGGTTTTCCTGGCTCTCCCGGCGGACCATCACGCCCATCTTTTCCATTCTCACCATCCCTTCCCGGCTCACCCATAGGTCCTTGCGGGCCGGGAGGTCCTGGTGGTCCAGGAGCTCCTTTGCCTCGTTTTCCACTAATAC